AGAGAGAGATAGATAGATAGAGAGAGAGAGAGAGAGAGAGTGAGAGAGAGAAAGAAAGAAAGAGAAAAAGAGAAAGAGAGAGAGAGACAGAGAGATAGATAGATATAGATAAGGGGTCGAGGTTCACTACAGTGCTTTGGGTAATAGAGTTGAGACTATTTGGGGAAATAAACAGACAATTGTAAAGAAATGACGGAGACATCATGGTGCTTAGCTTAACTCAGACATAAGACACACACCAAAGAAAAGAAAAAGGGAAACGACGGAGACACAAGACCTTCCAAACGGAGTGCCCCACCTCAATCCCTCCCATCCCATTTCTCTTGAGATTGGTTCACAAATAGGTTCATTCCAGAAGCGGAAGAAGGGGCTCTGCTCTGAAGGACCGACATCCTCCACAATGACTCATCCACCATTTTTAAAAATAGTTATGTAGCCCAAACATACGTCATAGAAGACCTCATGTACGGTGACTCATCATATCATCTTTAGGTTTAGTTCTAATAACAGTTTCACTGCACTTACAACACAAGTTAGGTAATAAAAGTGCCAAAAACTAGTGAAGTTACTTTAGAGTACCACACAAAGTGAAGAAGGAGGAGAGATACTGACGATTAAGGTTTGACTGGAAAGAAGAAGCAAACCATACAGAGCACCCGCCACCTACCCACTCGCATCATCTGTAAGCCACACACATACATAATACGTCAAAACGTACAGAAACGCATGCAACTGACTGAGCAGGGCAGCCGATATATGCGCAGTTTGCCCACCTTTCATTTCTGCCTGTGTCCCTCATGTGAGCCAGAGTGGGCGTTGGCGAACATTCTGATGTTATCCGCACCTTCCGTATTATTTTTGCTATCTGAACTAGAGTATCGTCAGAAAAAATAAAGGGGGTACGACGGCAAGAACCTTGTAAACAATACGTTTCTGGAGACACCGCTTTGTCCTCGGAATAACAAGTAATCAATTTCGAATTTGTTAACACACCCAAAAAAATGGGGAGGGGAAGTCATATGAAATACAGTGGTTGTTCCCTATAAAAATGACCTAGAAGAGAAATTCAGAGTTTAACTATTATATTACTATATTCTTTTGGTGACACTGTCTATTTGTGGAGAAATGTTGCAGTCACCCCCTTGACCCGTTATACACAACCACTCAAGAACTAACGATTGTGGCAGACAGAGCAAGGGGATGATAAATGAAATATAAAATGCTTCCTTCAACAAGAAAGAGACCCTAAAATCATAAAAGCAAACCCTGAGATTACATCCCAAAGTTTGAACACAAAGTGCCAAAGACAGCAGACACCATGATATTTTATTCTGCAGTGACAATTTCTTTGGACTATTATAAATCTTCATTAGTCCACAGGATTCGTGAGATGGGGGAGAGAGAGAGAGAGAGAGAGAGAGAGAGAGAGAGAGAGAGAGAGAGAGAGAGAGAGAGAAAACAAAGACAGACAGACAGAAAGACAGATATATAGAGGGTGAAAATAGAAACAAACGACATTGACCAACATATCAGGATGGCCCAAACCACACGAACCCCACCCCATCCCACCCCCGGAAAAAAAATCTTCCTCAACAAATAGTGAAAAAGTCACGTTTAAAAGAACAAATCAAATCAGCTCATGTGGCAGAGAAAAGTCAAATATCACAGATCCGCTTTATGAACGAAACCCAGGTGAAGGGTTGGGAACCAGGGTAACGGGGATAAATGACAAAGACAAAATGAATTTGCTCAACTATAAGTTGGCAAAAGGCACGACGGGGGTGATAGTCCAACAATTCACCCCCCCCCCCAAACAAACAAACAAACAAACAAACAAAACATAATAGCAAAAACAAAAGACAACCACCCCCACCCCAAACAAACTGAGCACATAACCGACATATTTAACCGAGAATAGTGTCAAAACAACAAAACAGAAACAGCCATCTTTTCAAAGCTCCTCCGCTTCAAAAAATGAATGATGCAGGCCTTAGAGAGATAACATGAGCTTATGAGATAAGGCACCTCTTCTCACACTTGCCGCCAAAGTCACGCCTGTGTACTGCGTTTATTTAAGTGAACAATCAACTTCAAGCATAATGCAAACAAGTCATACGTGTACGGAAGAATATTATTGCCCTCTTTTAGGTTCTCCCACACATATGAAAAGCATAGCATATCAACCACTCACACTTTTCAGCAGCTGGGTATACAAAGCATACCCCCCCCAAAAAAAAAAATTAATTAAAATTTAAAAATCTTCCAGACACGTGCGCGTACATGATGTGGAGGCAAACGTTTCAGCACGATCTCCATGATCAAGTACAAGTCGAGTAACGGGATAACCCCGAATTCGCAACACCGGGTAAACCCGTTCTAAATTTAGGCAACGGGAAAATATAGAACCTAATATAGCCAAAACCCAATTATGTTCTTCTGGCTCTGAATAGCATCTTGACTAAAACGATACAAAAAGTAGCTCTTATTTTGGTTATAATTCCAAATTAACCAGACGGCATTGCTTTTTAGCAAGTGTCCCCAATAAGCAGTGCTAGCAGTACCGACTTCGAGGGATTCTGACGCATCGCTCTTAACGCAAAACCCTAACGGCTAAAAAGTATTCGCACCACGAAGTACAACGTCTGAACAGGAACATGATTTCAAAGAGAACTAGGCATTCTATTCAGCTCAAGCTTTGGGGTTTTTGAGTGGATTCTCTCAGATTTTGCTCCTAATTAATTTCAACATATCTACTATTTCCTCAATTCAATCTGTTGATACTTCCATGAAAAGTAGACAACACATGTACCCCCCCCCACGGACCACACTTTCTCACGAACACAGAATGGCAAACGCACACAGAACACAGGTGTTATTGGAAATGCTTTGAAGACAGTTTCTATACAGACCTCAATAAGACTGCATCACAATCATTAAAAAATGACAACCTTGTCGTCACAGTAAAAACAAACAAACCCCAAACAACATCGCCCTCAATCAGACTTTCAGTACACACAGTAGATTTGCGTCCAGTGATGTCTGTACAGTATTGCTGAGGGAGGCCGTGGAAGGGATGGGTCGGCGCTGAGTCAGTGGTCTCATAACTGAGGAGTGAGAGAGAGTGAACATAAGTGGGCGATAAACAGCACTGTGGTTATCTATGATGATTTAATTTGCTCATTTTTAAAGCTCAAGGTCAAATCAAATACTTCTTCTTAATACATGTACTTACACATTCTTAGTGGATACATACATGCGTCCAAAAATATATTAACCGCTCAGTGGGAACCATTTTGGTTCACCAAGTTGGCGACAGATTTGAGTTTTGAAAATATTGGTGGACAATCTAGACCATTTAGGACGCGGGCTTCGACCCTGCCTGTCATGAACAACGCCAGATGAGAGGGATACAACGCCCAAACAGAAAAAACCCCAACAAAATATTAAGACAATAAATTTTCCCCTCATAAGAATTAAACTCGGGTCTTCTGCGACGGAGGTTACCGACGCTGTGCGGTTTTACTAGTCTGTGGTATAGAAAAGCAAATCGACAAGAAAATGGCCATATATTTCTCGAAAAAAGGGCAAGACAGAGAGACAGCAACAAATGAGTAATAATGAAAAAAAGTCAACACGGAATTCCGCGGCAAAATCAAGCAAATTCATATGTATAAAAAAGGTTGGTATAGAGTATTGTATCATGGCCAAAGAGCGAGGAAATAGTAAGTAGCCAGCCATTATGTGTAAATGTTACCAAAAATCTGTACTTCTTTGGTCTTTTTGTCTTTGTTCAAGTTTGGCACGTGCAATTCTGTGGTACACTATTATAAGGCGCTTTTGTCTGCTTTGTTTGTCAACTTGAGTAAAGGGAAACACATCAACACAATAATATTCGTTAGTGCTGAGAAAAAGTAAGACAGACAGACAGAAACAGAAGGAATATAAAGAAGTAGGACCTACCAGTGGTGCCCCCCCCCCCTTCTCCCCAACCACCCACTTCGTCTGCTTCGAGTTTTTAGAAGTATAAACACATTGAAAATATTACACGCCATTTAATGCTGGAATAAAGCATGCCAAACAGACGGACACAACAAAGACGTATTACAAAAAAACAAGAACCAAACAAAAACAAAAACAAACTTGCAGGGGCACTTTTCAGACTCCTACGTCTTCTTGTTTTGATTTTTTTTTCGTTGGTAATAGACACTTTTTCTGGAATTTGGCGGGTAAAACGCCAATATAGCAACACCAACGGGACAGCAGCGAAAGTGCGTGGGTTGGAGGGAGCAAGGGGAAGTTAATTACAAGTAGCAACACATGGAGGTCATCATAGGCAGAGCTTGTTTCAAACTGGCGGGATATGAGTAAGAGAGGAAAGAGGGAGGGAGGGAGGGAGGGAGAGAGAGAGAGAGAGAGAGAGAGAGAGAGAGAGAGAGAGAGAGAGAGAGAGCACAGACAGAGAGAGAGAGAGAGAGAGACAGAGAGAGAGAG